ATATATATATATATATGTCTGCATTATATTCTGCTCGCGCTCCACTATAAGTACCCTAAACCCTAAACCCTAAACCCTAGCTTACAAGTGGTTACAATCGCTGCAGGTCTCCGGATAAACACCAAAGAAATCTCCACGACGCAGCAAAGAAGACAAATACAAAGCCCTCTGCAAGCAGGAAGGAGACGCACATTCATTAGCTATAAAGCAGCATGTATGTTCTAATGCATTATATAGCATAATAACATTATACCTGAGATATTATAAAACTCTTTACAGACAAAAATGTAGAGATATACAGGCGTCAAGCAATATTAATACAGCACACAGCTACAGATAATACTGCATTGATACTGCGTAGTATTGCATTACTGGCTTTCTACAGTGCCATACAAATGTTGTCCTCAGTTGTACATATATAATATATATATATATATATAATGAATTATGTATTGCACATTGCACATTACTTATTATATATTGAATATGCTCACCGGTAAACAACATGAGGGGATATCATTGAATTCGTCTCTCTCTGCTGCTGCCGCTTTAAATGCCTCATTTGTTATTTCCTTGTCTTTTGCAAAAAGGAGAAGTTCGCGTAGACTGAAAAGACAGGAGAACATTCATACATACACTGTCTAAACTCATTGTCTGCACTGGTACACAGACATAAATATGTATATATATATATATATATGGTTATGTAGGTAAGTAGTGCGTAATTCAACATCGGGTACTTCTTTACTCCTATGAAGAATATGATTTTGTTCATAATGCAGGTGAGCAGTATGCTCAGGTTTATTATTCATATGCGAAGTTTACTGAGGTCTGTGTGATAATATTATTCATATTATCAACTTATTAAGGCATAATTTTTGTGCTATTTGCGCACAAGTCGGAGGTTTCGTTGAGGCCTCGCGCCTCACACTGGCGCACTGTCCTGAAGCCTTCAACGGCTTCTTGAAAGGAGAGTAGTGGAATCTTCATCTGAAAAAAAAAACCCAAAGGGCGAAATAAGTTTAATTAACTCATTAAATTGAATTCAAAACGCACAAGATGAGCAAGGAAAACAAACAAACACAGAAGAGAAAAGCATACATATAGAACTGCTAGGATTTGCAATGGAAAAGTTGAATTGTTTTCTTTAAGCCTGCAAAATGCATGCAGTGGACTCAACTCCAATGCTGAATCCTATTAAGCCATCTCTATTGCATATACTTGCAGACAGATATACAATTAAAATTCCTCATTATCTACGAGATATTTGCACAGCAAACCTACGGGCTCAGAGAAATGCCGTTGTGTTCAAGGGTTTCATTCGTCAGGTTCCTCCGTCTTCTGTTTGCTCATCGAAAAGGCCTTCAGGAGGTTAGATAGAAAGGTTAATGGATGAATTTGGAAGAGCAAATTCAAAATAAGGAATTTATATGCCCTTTTTCATGAAGTCGTTAATGTGATTCTTCATGGCTTGCAAGGACGTCCGTTCAACTTCAGCTCGAACTTGCAAAACGGCAGTTTCCTTCTGCCGCAATGATATACTGGGGAGCGATGAAGGTGGTTTTCCTTCATGGAGACCAAAACAATCATCTAATTATGCAAGCAAGATGTGCGATGAAACGCACACAATGAATATCCCATCTTGCTGGTTCCTTCCACCGCACCCCCCAGCGATAATATACACGCTGCTGCCGAAACCTGGGGGAAGGGACTCTCAGTTACTTCTGAATGAGTCAGCAGAAGAGGAAAATATCGGAATAAAAAATTAATCTACAAACTCTTCCCCTCTCGTGACCGGAAAACGACTTAGCGCTGCACACAGACGATGCCGATGCACACATGCGCAGAACCAGCTCGGCTTGAAGTGTTGCGCTGTGTACACAACTTCGTAAAAAAAACATTCAAGATAGACGGATCTATCTAAGCGCAGCGTTTGTCTCGCAGGCTTTTTCTTGAACAGCCCCAAGGAACTCCCACCAGCCCCGGCATGCGTCGTTGTCTGGCAAGTTGAGCGGTGCGCCTATACCGTGAAGACTAAGGGAATATAGTAACTGAATCTATACTCAAAAAATACCTTAGAACATTCTTCACGAAACAGGGAATAACTCCACACCGGAGGTGCCTCTGGAAGGCCTTGGCTAGCGTACCGGTGGGCTTCAACACCTGGGGTTCTTCCGCCGGTACGACGCTAAAAGTAAATTCACTTTTATTTTTCCACGATCAAATTCAACAACAAATATTAATAGAGTTGCTAGCCTGATCAGTGTGATATTAGATTTCCTAATTGACGAGCTAGCAATGGCACGCTGCATCAATCGAGTTCCCGCCTCATTCATTACCGGAGAACGAACTACATCCCGATGCGTAATTCCACTCGGACATACGACCTCATGCAAAATTCTGTAACAGTATAAATGCATTGTTTTGAAAGAAACGAATGATGTCCAGATGCTCTTAATGGCTTTCCTAGCCTACTCTCGCTACCGCCCTGTGCCCACAGGCTCCGACAGCCCCAAGAACTCCCTGCACATCCGGAAAAGTTGGTATTCTTCAAATTACAACCTGCCCTAGTGCTTTTCGTTCTCTTTCTTCCCCGATTCCCAGATTCACTGCCGTGCCTGTCAGTGCATCTGCTGCTCTTCTCCTCAGTGTCGATGCGTACATTGCTCAAGGCGCACGGCGAGATGACAACATGGTATTTGGTTTGCCACACTATGCCGAAATAGTGTTTCTGGACGTTCCTTTCCAACTTGGAGGTGGAGTGAACCGAATGTGCGTGCCTGCTTCCTTTTCCTTCTCTCCCTCTGCGGCGTCCGCTCTCGACAACAGCAGCTGCGGGCGACGCACAAAAGAGTTACTTCTCTTGGGAGCTCCGTTTCCCCGCTCATTGAAATACTGTTAGTCGGAGTTTCCAGCGCTTCGTCTTAATATCTGCTGCGGGGATGCCGCGCCATAACCGCCCAACTCCGGCTGAATTTCTATATCGTTCAGCATGTTTGTCGCCTCCATCGCCCGGCGATGGCGGTGAAGAGGCGGCGTTTCGAGACTGTCAGTATGAAGGTATTTACAGTTTCATTGCTGACGAAAGAAGCAAAGTGGTAGTAATAGGGGGTCCTTCTGGCGAGTTGAAGCCAATGTTCAAAACTGTCGCTCCCGAATCCTCTCCAAACCATCAGCAAAAAACTTCCTTGTCGGACAGACTACCAATTCCCATCAGAACCCCGATTCGTCTTCACCGCAGCACAGAAGAAACTATTTCAAATCAGCTAACCTTTCGAAATCCGCTATATCCCCTTGATGCGGCAATTGGGGCATTCGTTGTTTGCAACAGTCGATGGGAAACGTTTCGTAGGAATTTGCACAACGTTGAGAAGAACTCCACTTATCCACCTCCTGTGGCATCCGCTGTCCCTGCGCGCGCCTCTCCTGCTCGTGCTGCTGGCGATAGAACCATTGGATCAGAGGAGTCTTTGAAACGACTTGTGTCTTTTGATGTAATTACCTCTCGCCGCTGCCTGCGTGAATTACTCCGTTTCCTCTTTCCAAACACAACTCCTTATAACACCCCTTTCGCAATTGACGTGGACTTGGTTGGCAATACCCTTTTGTTTACTTCCAAGGCACCTGCCAAAACGACTTCCGCTGGCTGCGGCCGAGACTTCGAACATAAAGCCACTACCATCGCCACAGTGAGTACAGGGGAGGGAAAAAGAGAAGAATTAACAACAAGCTTTGTCTTGCATTCTTTCCACTTCTGCCAGCAAATGCGAATTCTGATCACCGCCGAGGTGGACGCAGTAGATCCTGGATTCAATCTGCTGCCGAAACAAGAGGCCAGCAGCAGCAGCAGTATTGATTGTGGTGGAGAATATTGCAGCTACAAAGAACAGGATATAGGGTCAAATGCGTGTTACATTCACAGCTGTGCACAGCTTTCCCTCTTGGA